GAATGTTGCTATCGATCAAGATGAATTCTCTTTTAATGGCTCTCATGAGTCCCACCACCGAATGGTCGACTCAAAAATGAGGTCCACCTCTTCTTTTGAGGCTTCTCGGCGAAAGTGATTCAAGAGGTGAGTTCGGTAGCGCTTTCATTTGATCGATAGCAACATTCGGACTACTGGTTCAACGAAACTGCCTTCAGGATTGTCTGGTTCACTAAGCGGATCATTACCGAATGCTTTCGGACCCTTCAGGCTCCCAGAAAGGCGAAGAAGCAAAAAAGTCAGTCTAATAAAAAAGCTTAACAATCGTGGAAAGCCCGAGACCTTATACCTGCGAGTACTGCTCTTTTGCTGTACTTCTATGTATTAAGGCCAGCTTATTCCGCGTTGATAGGATGGGCGGAGACTCACAGCCATTCAGCCTCCCTGAGTGACGCGCCTTGGTGTCGATTTAATTCGGCTAAGATTACGAGCGCGCTAAGTAGTACATCCATTTTAGGCAACATTCGTTTATTTATTCTTTGCGCAGGAAGGCGCTCTACAATAAGGGCGATTTGGTAAATTCCAAGAAACATCTCATAAAGAACAGTATTACTACATACTCGCAATAAAATCTGCATGTTATTGCATCTATGAGCTCCGATAAAGTACCTCATCTAATATCAGAAAAATCACAAAGAAACGCAAAAAATATAGTGTAATTGAGCACATATCAATGGGGAAAATGAAACCCGTTATTAAGATCAAATCAGTTCTACTATAGTCGGCTTCTTAACGACAATAAAGACCAGCGGTAGCTCATACGGTGTGTCCACGTGGTACAATATGAGCCAGTAGTGACTCATTACTTTTCGCGCTACTTTCCATATTGTTGCCATTGATTTTTACATAGGTTACGTACTGCTTCCTATTCATTCGGATAGATGAGTGTCCAACAGAGAACGTAACTAACAAAGAGGTTGTTTGCCAGGTTTCCTTTTTGAGGTTTGTCTCATAAAAACTTTTAGGACTGAACATCGCCCA